ACTACTAATACTAGTAGTACCACTATTAATATTATACTACTATGTTTGTTTCAATAAAAGTTACATTTTCACTATAAAGAGGACAAAATGTATTGTTATTCATCCAAAAATAATGCATTTGGACTTTTTTCTGATAAATGAGAACAATTGTTCAAATAAACGCAGATCCAGACTAGCGCTAGACTTCCGCATTTCCAGATAGCCAACATTCTCAAGCCTTGAGAAGTTCAGTGAAGAAAGGTTTCTGACTGAATAAAGCCCGGTCTCTATACACAATATTACAAAAAAATATACATATATTATACTAGTAGTATATGTAGCTATTGATATTAAAGAGTTTTCTATAGTTTGTCTTTAAGCAACTTAAAAAGGGGAAAAGAAGGAATAATAGCAAAACTAAATATTTTCATACAGTTCATGCTCCACTTCACGGATGAAGCCATTTCTAGAGATTAGTGCCACCTACTGTCCATTTATCGAATAAGTTATAAAATATCTAGAATTTAAAAAAACAATAGCAATAAAAACAGAAATAGAAATTAGCAGAAAAAGAAAGAAAGAAAATTGTCATCTTGGAATTTGCGAAACGTTGACATATTTGATGTAAATATATACATGTCTTTTATTTTTTTCACTCTAAAGTGGATATGAGAATTATAATTAATTTTAGAGTATTTCATAAAATAAAACAAGTAATCAAGAAATGGTCGCTTCACATATTAAATCAAAACAGGAACACTTGGGTTCCCTCTTATTTATAGTTAGTTTCAGACCTAGTCGTAAAGAAAGCAATGCTTTGGCAGCGTATGAAACCAACTTATCAATAGAATTTAAATAGTAAATTATCAATATGAAAGGTAACAAAATATATCATTATTTTTGTTGATAACCTTGGTAAAAATCTGAATATCATAATTTCAAAATTTACTATTAACAAATTTTTAGTTCCACTATTTAGTATTAAAAAAACAAATTATTAGTGAAAGTAAAAACCTAAGATTTGTAATCACAGCTCTTACTTACTAAAATACATTCTGATCCTTATATTATATTGTGTGTGTGTGTGTGTGTGTGTAGTTACAAGAGCCTATCCAGGATTTTCAGTTTGAGATGGATCGATTTTGAAATAAACTGCTTAGCCTAGAAACACCCTTACCTCGAACATTTTACGTACAAAAACATTAATTTACAAACTTTTCTGACATGTTTAGTGTTTGAATCCCGCGATCTATAGAAGTGGTTTTCTGACTGTATTTACGTAAATATGTTATACCATGTTTGCTGCTCAGAGTAAAATCTGCCTGTGCCAAGGTAAAAATTGGTTTGGATATACTAGTCCTGTGCTCGAAATTAGAAAGGGGTGTGTTAGCTATTATTAATTATTTCGCCAACTGTGTTGAAGCTTACCTAGTTCACGCATTGACGAGAACTTTCACGGATGTGTTGGCAGAACAATGGATACCTTACTTTGGTATACTTGGAGAAGTACAACTGACCAAGAAGCTAACTTCAATAGCCAGTCCTTTGCGGAGTTGTGACGATTATTAGATGTGGTAAAAATGTACACTTCACCCTCAGTTTGATGGTTTGGGTAAATTGGCAGTACAATATATCAACTGTATGCTTGCTAATGTGTTAACCCTGACCAAGCTGATTAGGGTGAGCACCTATTATATATCAAGATAATGTGCCACACAACTGAACAACAGCTGACAAGTCGTTCTCTGAACCTACTGATGCATGGATGTGAAATGCAGTTCCTCGTATGATGTATGGCTCTCAATCTAATGCCAAAATTCCACTAAGTCCACGGGAATGCATTGCATAAGTGCATTTTACGTTATTCGCATGTACTTGTGTCTTAGTAAATGGGTAGAATGAATGTGCATTAAAAGAGCTTTTATGACTAAACATCGATAAGATAAAAGTTTGGACCTGGTGACTGCATATGGTTGTGGTGTCGCATGGATTCTGTTGATAAGCCCTCAATAAAATGTTCTATAAACACCTGTATGATATTCAAGAAACCAAATAATAAATTTATTTCCATGTAATTTCTTTAAGAATCAAATTATTTTCCACATAAGTGCCCAAGTATTCTTGTGGCCCTCACCTTCAAGTTTTGAACTCAAGTACATAGATATCTCGGATCTACATAGAATTAAATTCATGCTACAACTCATTGACAACTTGTCTCAGTTATTTAGTTGTACCTTGGGCATCGAATGCTGGACTGTGTAAACTCATCATCAAGCATAGCACCACCTATTCCGATGTCTATGTATTTTAATTAACATTTTTTTGCTGTTCCTTTAAACATTGTCGTTTATTTGTTTCATGTCGTCCATTACGCTGTAATGGTGTCAACAGGCTCCAACTACTAGCTTTTCTACTGAATTTTGGTCTAGAAGATTTAGGGAGTTCTTGATTTTTTCCTAGAAGCCTCGAGATGTGTGAATCCTTATTAATGTAATGTACTTGGGCTAAATCTACTATACACTGCTCATGTGAGAAAACATGTCATCGTTGCTCTCGTAATGACATAACATATTATACAACACTTCATCATTACATCCCACGTTGTCTCCGGCTGCTGGACGCGGTTTAGGAAAATTTTCAGTACACATTGCCAGCTAAAAAAGCTTTTGACTTCCTCCTAGTCTCGTGGAATTGTTGCGAGATTCCATCTTCTCCACCTAACAGCATTGCAATCAAAAGCATTGTACTACACCCAACAAGCATCTCATCAATATCCTTGATTAGTGATGGCTCTTTCCTGCACTTTGCAACGTCTAGTCTCATTATGGAATCTTACAGAAACCTACCCAGTAAGCTCGGAACATCTCTGTGTCTCAAAGAATGCTCTTCCTAGACTTTACCACATTTTCAGATTGATTCATCACTATCACCTTAGCTTCCTTGTCTTGGTTGTAAGTCTTACATTGTTTCAGAAAGTTTCCTTCTATGATGATATGATTTACAGATATTACTGTGTCAGAGAGTCAACAGAAAAAGAAAAACATTAAAAATAAACTTTACAATAACAAATATTTTGGTCAAGACAACGAAATGTTAATTTTAAATAGTTTCTGGTATTCATATCCACTGATATATACCAGACAACCAAATGTATTCTCGAAACAAATGTTCAAAAAATGTTATACAGTGAATGCGCTGAACACAAACAGCAAAATAAAATAAATAACACTGTTGATAAGATATTTTTATTGGTGGTTAGTTTTCAATTTAATAATGTGGGGAAGCTTTTGTTTTCTATGTCATTGGAACTGACTGCTGGAGTTTGGACAAAATCAAAAGAAACACAATGAGGGCCAAATCAAGAGAGATAATTATATGGATATCTCACTTTTACTGTTAGACTGACGTACTTAGGTTACATACTTCATCTACCACTCTACATATCTAATCCTAACCATCCAAAGTCAATTTGTACATATATCTGTTTAATCTATATGAATAGGCCAAATTCATATAAGTCCAAAAAGAGATCTATGCATGTTAGTCTTACACTTAAAAACAAAAGTTGCAGCATGTAACCTTTACTTAGGTAAAAGGATTAGGGCATGTTTACGACCTCAGAAGTGGTCAACTATATGACGAAACTGAATGGAAATTTAAAAGAAATCAGAAGAATATATCCATTTAGTGATATACACTTTCAATACTTGTTATGAAAAGATAAAATATCATGATAGTAAATCACTACATATTCACTAAGCCAGGATTTTTTGTGGAATCCTTGAATATTGTTCAGCTAATCGAGAACGTTATAGAAAATGTATCAATTAAGAATGGATCTGACATGGTCTTGTGGCTGTTATGCTCAGACAATGAATCTGAAGGCCATTATTTGTGTTCTAATGTAACAAAAACGGGTTCTGCACAATGGAACCACCATGAGTGCGCTGTAAGAGTGATGTTTTCCACTACTTTAATTAATTATTACGATAAAAGAATAAAAAATTCAACATTATATTGTTTTTCATAGTTCCTCTTCCAGACGCAATGAGGTGCTTAAGTGAGTTACAAACTTTAAGTTTCTCTTTGTAGCTGAGCTCTTCTTGTAGGCAACACCCATTGGCTAGCTGAACTAACAAGAACTAATCTTTTTTTTTTTTCATAGGAATCTGAGAGTTTATTGGTATACTTAAGACACTATGTTTGGAATTGAGAGAGCAGATTATGTGTGCCCCTGGAAATAATGTTGCAATAGAAATTGTGTAGTTTCCTTTAGTTTGATTGCTTCCATACGTATTTAGCAAACACCCGTGGCTTCTGCCTTCTTTTCATTACTTTTATCTTTATTTAGAGCGAGATTCTGTGCGACTCATAAGTGCATCTCGTTTATGTTTAGCGTCCTTTTACGTTAAACATGAATTACCTTTCATGTAATGTTTGCTCCACGCATAAAGTTTAAGCGTTTGGAATCTTGTCTCGAAATTCGAGCTGGTATATTAGATTTCACTAAGGATATATAAAACCTAATTTAGCAGTAATATTTAATGCAAGTTGGTGTACTTTACATTTATTATTTTCTTTCCTTTTTTGCAAGAGAAAAGTACACGAACTGACAGAAGCTCATTATTGATTAAAGTCTTCACTAGCTCTTCTACTGGATCAGTGAATACATCTGCAGCGTTTTATTTCTCTCAGGATAGATCACTCTGGAACTACTAACGTTGAAAACTAAGTACATCTGACTAAAGAATAAGGGCTCTGATCGTGCAAGATACATTATTCCTTTTGTCTTCAGATGATGTTACCACATGACTGGTCATTCTCTCACAACATTTATCAGCTGTAATTACACACATCATACACTTTGACAGCAAGGAACGTTGCAGCCATTGACCTTTTTTAAACAATTATGTATATACTAAGATATCTCCTCGGGCAGAACATATAATATCTGTGATAGACAACCAAAGACACAAAGGTAACTAGAATAAAGCAATTTCAATAGTTTTCTGGATCATAAGACTTTTTGTTTGTTTTGCCAAAAGTGGATAGAAACAAATTAAATGAAATATTGAAACAAATTCTATGTTAACAAAAGCACGTAGAAAACATATGATACATATTCATATCACACATTTATGGGATAAACTTTTAGTTCATAATTTATCGATTATTTTAACCTAATATAAATTAATAATTTCTTGTTTGTTATGAACCACAAAGCTGCACAATGGATTCTCTGTATCTTCAAGTATCAAAACTCGATTTTTAACGTTATATGCTGTTATGTTAAACTTATATTAAATTTTTTCTTCATTACCCATTCAAGCCTCTCCAAGCATTATTAGTCTTAAGGTGGGTTCCTCGTCATCGAAAGATGTAACTAATTTTTTATTAGTATTATTTTTATAAACTTCTAATTCTATACAATTAACTGTTCATTATGTAAGGGTACCCGTTGAAAAAATTTGTGGCGACATATGATTCGTGACTATGGTAAGAAGAACCACAAACATTTTACTTCAAAGTTCTATGCTAGCAGTTCGAAACGTCGTCCAGTAACTTTCTAGACACTATACTCTTCCCTATTTAAACCTTCTCTCAAGCAAGAACCACGAAGACGTAACATGGTCTTGAGGTATGTCTCTTTGTATTCTTTCTTCGAATTTCCGGTAAAAAGATCACCGAGTTTTTTATTAGTTTAGCATTGCCAACATAATTTTCTTAAAACTGGCATATGCAGAAGAGTAACAACTCATGGTTGATTATATTGGTGTCTTTTTTATTGTTATATAGCTGTTCAGTAAATTATATCAAAACTTTTTGGGGACCTCACTGCGGTCGTTACAGTAAATGTCGCCACACCCTGCCATGCATCTTGCCAATAGTCCTGCAGTTTCGTTTCCATTGCAAGAGGCTTGGTTGTAAGGCTACTGTGCAAAAGTACACTACTACTCCTGCATGCTTTCCATAAACCATCTAGTGTACGAGGACGACGACTTGACGAGGCATTTCAACAGTCCTATCGTACAGAAATCCAGAAGTTTGCTTCATTTTCCAGCTGCTTCAGGTATGCGTCGGCGGTAGAATGGATATGTTCCGGAAATAACTTGTGTACACGTAACTCGTACCGCTTTTTCAGACGGAGATCTTTCTTGATTGTGTTGCGTACTATTGCCTGGAGTACGTAGACAGGTTTCTTTCCACTGACGTTTGTGTCCGTTGGTTCTCATCTGTTACAAAAGCCGCACTTTGGTTAACTTGGCCAGAGCAAGACTTGATAAAAGTTCTTTTTGGATGGTCCTGGTGTTCCAAGTTGATCCATATTCCTTTTTTTTCCTAATTTCATTGAGTACAAAGACTATTTCTGTTTTGGAAATACAAAATTCCTTTTGGACAAATCTTTATGATTTGAGTGTACGTATGACTATTTTACAGTCGGAAAGGGCTGTTACACGCCCTTTCCAAAAGCGATCAATTCTTGGTAGCATTACACTAACTCCAAATACTAAACAGTGTCAAAATGTATTCCGTTCCACCGCGGCTGTGGTTATCACGTTATTTGCAGCTTTGAAAATTCAAAATTATTTTGATGTAACGTACTCAAACTTGCACCGAACTATTAGAATCTACTTCAACCCTTAAATTATTGATTTGTTTTGATAACGTTCACTATCGGTAGGTCCATATATTAAATCGTATTGAATATTTTTTATATTACTTGCTTGTTACAACACTCTGGTTAGGAAAATCACTCTCTTTCTGTGTAAAACAATAAAATACATAGGGAATCCCACCAGTAATTAGTGAAGTTCATTGTAATACTGATGGTATTTTTTTTCACTTTTTTTTGCGAGACTGATATGTTATTAGGGACCTTCTAATCAACAAATTCATGGACTCACGAGCACTTCGGTACATAAAAATTTTCATAAATGTGTTTTTAAAGTCGTTAGGGTTATATAGAAATCACAGTAATTTTAGGGTTAAGGGTTCTCAATAGCAGTCTGTGTATATTTAGAAGTTTAACTATGAACAAATGAAATAATAGGATCCATACCTCAAACGTAAAAAAACACATTTATTATTAAACATTGTGTTACATTTACATGTAAAACTCTGTCTTACAAACGTTTTCAACATTTGGTGGAATATTCTATATTATACACAAGACGCTTGAAACAATAACTGACTACTATTTACAAACCTACCACTCTATAGCTATCCACATACAATTTATTAGGTATTTCCTTGAATATTAAAACTTAATCACAAGTGAAGCTTGTGAGTCTCACATAAGTTACGTTAGCTCCACTCTCTCGTTGGTTTACTCATTTCTAGAATATGCACAACAAACGTGAATAATCTGCCGTTGTGTAAAGCTTTTAAAAACGAGTTCATAATTTCACTCAAATAAGCATTTCCTTAATAAGCAGGTGAAAACGTAAAGTTTAAATCATATTTTTTAATTTTTCTTTTGGTTAACTCAAAAATAGCTACTTTCCTTTTCGGAAAAACTCCTAAAACTTAAAAGGTTCATGTTGTAACCATTGTATTTCAAAAACATTAAAACGCAATAAGGGCTTATTTTGTAATATTATATTAATTACGGGATATAACCATTTATAATGGCATCACGCAGTCTTGTTTCATTTGTGAATTTTAAGTAGATTACATAGATTAAACTACTCTAAATTATTCATGAACCAGGACTAGACCTAAAGGAAAATTGTATGTTTTATTCATAACTAAAGGACACATGAAAGCTAGTAATTCACAGCAAAATGTTTCAAATTGGCAACAATCGTTTTAAAGAAGCTTTAGCAGAATATAGAACTGTTTCCAAACGAATATAACAATTGTTCCGAGAAGGCAAGGCCATCACTACACATAACGTTATCTACCGTCTCTGGCTAGCCACAACCTCAGAGCACCTCCTCCAAGATAATTTTCGCAGCCACAAATGAACATCATGTCAGAATACACTAATATCAGAAACAGACTTCACACGATAGATCTGTGAGCCAAGCGCCCAGTTAGATGCATTTCATATTCAAAGCAAGACATAATTCAGCTCGCTTACAATAGTGTTAAGAACCCATTCAGTGGACCAACAATATTCGGCACAATATCCATTTTACAGATGAGTCGCACTTCACTCTGTATCCAGGTGACAGTTGTATGCTTACTTAGAAAGAATATGGAATCAGATCCAAATGTGTATGATATATATCTATGGGACACTCTTGGAACACATATTACATTCCGTCAATTAACTCCAATCACTAAATATACCACTGAAACAACTCTTTTAGAGGAGTGGTGAAAGATATTATAGGACCTTAACACTCCTATTTTAAGCATAGCGACAGGCTGCCATAGCTGTTCGTAGTAATCATTCTCCATATTTTAGTGAAATCTCGTGAGCTGTAAAAATATAAAGTTATCTCTATTAAATGTTAATTTACATACCACAAAAATAGCCTTAATATATATTTTTAAATCATAAAAAAATAGCTAAAAGTATGAAATCTATCAGTTTGTTAAGCTGTCTAAGCCATAAGTATTTTCTAAAGCATAGTGGCACAGCTAAGCCAGCCCAAAGTATCATTGTTAAAACACATAGACTCAACCAACACATGCCATAACAGAGGAACAATAACCCAAATTAACAAGTTGAATAAATTTCAGTAATACTAAGCCTTGGGTTGCCATATTACTATCAAGTTAAATTATAATATACTAATATATTTATATAGTTTCAATGGGTCGGAAATAAATATTTCGGCTCACCCTGTACACTATAAATGTTTGAAATAAATTTTGAACTTAAATTAACCAATAGGTACGATGTTTTTATTTATTTATTTTACTGAAAGCAATAACAACTTTTAAGAGTTGCTGATTATGTGTTTATAGGTTTATTAAATTTATACTTAACCGTGTCAATTGTAACTTGAATATGTTGTTTTTCCAAGGAGCTAACTTACACCTGCGAAGAAAAAGTGACAGATTTAAAATGAAAGTTCTTTATAAACTTCACATCTGTTTCTTGTTCAGAATAATTAACACAGGTCTATGTAGTACGTTTGACAATCCATCTTCAATAACAAACCCAATATGTGCTTTGCTGCCGGAATCTTTCCAAGACTGGTTGACAGGAGATACATTAAACTTTCTGATGAAGAATAACACTCTCAAGAGTAAAGTTGGCAGTGATATCATGTCGGTATAATAAGAAGCTGACGTCAGCTAAGAGTCATATTACGAACGCATCATGAATTGTGACATCATCTCTATGTCTTGCTGGTAGCAAATAGTTAAATCTGTTTGAGGAGAGCTCACTTACAAAGGTATTGTGGGCGACAAAATTATCTTTATGCTTCAGTGAAACTTCTTATCTAGTCTGTTAAATACTGCAACAAAAACAACAACAGACTCGTAGCAGGAATTTAGGTTTGATATCTTTCAGGCCTCAGAGAACTTAAGGGGCCTGGAAGGCAACCCGGGATGCTCAGAATCTTTTGTTCCTCTTCATCCCGTTAAATAATGCAAATTGTTTGTCACGTTTTAAACTAATTCCACCTTCAGACGAGAGTCGATAGTTCCGTACTATGGGCCGTGACGTCAGGGGCTACTCGTCCTGAATGCCGAAGTTGACTTAACCTACTTTCCACTCTCTCTCTGCTTGCCTGAGTCTTTTCCCATTGCCACACGTAAACATTCTGTACAGAAACTACTCCGCAGAATACGATTCCTAGTCCTACTGCTAGACTGGTTATTATTGCTGGAACCTCGTGAAAATGAATGAACGTAAACAATATTACACCTGCAGAGAAATGAGGAAAATAAATACATTATATACATATACTATGTTAATGCACTTAAAACGAAATTATGAACTGTACGAGGAGATAGTTAAATGAAGTAATCAAACCAATTTTCATAGAAAAAAGTAAAAATTCGAGTGGAGCGTGAACATTACTGGCAAATGATTTTGAAAAATTATATTTATAGGCATATTGTAGAATAATTGTAAAATTTGAGCTTATGCATTTACTGTAAACAAAAGTACACAAAATAACTATTTCGAAACCAAACATTTAGATCTAAATACTGAACAGAAAGAAGAAGAAAAAAAAAACATGTTGTTGATATTGTTATTGTTTAAAACTACCCTTTGCTGCCGAAATCATTCCAACACTGGTTAACAGGAAATAAACTTTCTGGTGACGAATAACACTTTTAAAAGTAAAGTTGGCAGTGCTATCATGTCAGTATGATAAAAAACTGACGTCAGGTAAGGGTCATGTTACTAAAAATAACCAGTGAATAGAAATACGGTGACACACAAAAATAGGTAGATTAAATACGTGCGTGCGTTTGGGAAAGAAGTTACATGAAACATGAGACATTGACAGTGAGCTGCCACAATGCTAAAATACAATCCAATATGTATGAAATCGTTTAAAAGAAAGAAGGTTTGATTACTTGTTATTAAATACGATCTACTCAATGGGTTACTTGATATTTGAGCGTTATAAGCTTTCAGGTTTATTGTTAAATCACTGGGGGCAACATATAGGGAAATTACTAGAATAACATTAAAAAAAAGTGTATTGTTGGAGTGTGACGAACCTTTGAAGTTTAAGACTGTAAAAAGTGTCAAATCAAACACCATCTTCTTAAAAAGTTTACACTGCACTTACTGCATCCAGTAACACCAGTATGAGGCCTGTGTATTGCACTTAATGTCTATGGATTAACATTAGGTACTTTGGAAAGGCCTTAATATACAAACTTTATACCTTCTTCAAGAGTACCTGTTCTGTTTCAAGTAAAGACTGTTGCACTATAAACTTGACAAATGGTCATGTATTTTGTGAAGATATAACAGTTGTTTTACCTATTTTTTAAAGATTGACCAAATATGGGTTTGGAAGCAAACAGTTGATCAGTTTCCACTGACCCGATGTGACATTACTTGTGATATGAATAATTGCTACAGTTCTCACAATATTTTAGCATCTTCCATTGTCACTTTTATAAAAAAAAAAGGTTGACTTCATCCTCCTGTTGTTATACTACTTGTGATATGACAGTTTGTCAAAGTTCACAGAATATGTGTAGCATTACCAATGTCACTTTGTTGGCAAGAGTGACTTCATCTTACTAGAGAATGAACCGTTGTGACATTGCTTGTGATACAAAAGGTTGTATTAAGCCGAATTTACAGGATTGTAATGTAATGGTGGGGACGGAAACTTCACATTAGGTGTAAGAGCTAGTTAGTTTCAAAGTGTCTGTATATTAAAATGCTAATGAACATTAATCTCAGCCATTATTTGAAAAAGTCTGTATATGTGTACGCTGGGTCGATTGCCACCACATTTGTTTTTTTTCTTTGTTTGTACTTAACTCCAAAGTTCACAATGTGTTGTGCCCACTACGCATATCGAAACCCTGTTTTTAGCGTTATAAGCCTTCAGACTTACAGCTATGCCACTGGGGGGGTGGGGGCACCACATTTTAAGAGGATAATACTTTAGTCCCTAGAAGTGATCTGAGCCATAATTGGTCTCGATGGATGCATGCTTCAATTTGACCTCCTATGTCACTCCCGGAGACTTCTGTTTCTACCCCGTGCTTTGAACGTGTATGTCAGCTAGTACATCTTAAAGTAACAGTTTTAGGCCAGCATTTTAACGGGATAATTATTCAATTCCTAGTTTCAAAGTGAAATACAGACATCCTTAACCACAGTTCATAACTTATGAGTCTTCCGAAGAGGTTGATTAAAAAGTTAGGCCAGAAACTTCCACTCATCATTTCCTAATCGAGCTTTAATATCACTTTAATAAGTTCAGAAATTGGTTTGGTTTTGGTTTTTAATTTCGTACAAAGCAACAATAGGGCTATCTGCGCTAGCCGTCCCTAATTTAGCAGTGAAAGACTACAGGAAACGCAGCTAGTCATCACCACCCACCGCCAATTCTTGGGCTACACTTTTACCAACGAATAATGAGATTGACTGTCACATTATAACGCTCTAACGGCTGAAAGGGCGAGCATGTTTGGTGGGACGGGGATTCGAACTCATGACCCTCAAATTGCAAGTCGAATGCCCTAACCACCTGGCCATACCGGGCCAGTTCAGAACTTAGAACAGAGTATTTCTCGAAAAACTGCACCAGTTAAACAGGAAAAGGACGGTACTAAGCTGTATTTATTACAATGATAAATAAGACCCCTCCCTTCTATAACTTACTAAACTGTATTTATGACAATGATAAATAAGATCCCTCCCTTCTATAACTTACTAAACTGTATTTATGACAATGATAAATAAGATCCCATCCCTTCTATAACTTACTAAACTGTATTTATGACAATGATGAATAAGATCCCTCCCTTCTATAACTTACTAAACTGTATTTATGACAATGATAAATAAGATCCCTCCCTTCCATAACTTACTAAACTGTATTTATGACAATGATAAATAAGACCTCTCCCTTCTATAACTTACTAAACTGTATATATGACAATGATAAATAAGACCCCCCTTGTATAACTTACTAAACTGTATTTATGACAATGATAAATAAGATCCCTCCCTTCTATAACTTACTAAACTGTATTTATAACAATGATAAATAAGATTTCTCCCTTCTACAACTTACTAAACTGTATTTATAACAATGATAAATAAGACCCCCTCCCTTCTATAATTTCATGGCTGAATACTTTTAGCAGTGTCATAAAAACATTTACCAAATTAGAAGCATAATTAGAACCAGCGAACATAAAGTCATGCTATCAGTAGAGATGTGTTGTCAAAAACCCATAATAGTTTGTACATAACATAAACGATAATTACAATGGCAGTTTTAACAAGAATAATATTTTCATTATAAAATTTTATAAGTACATTTGTATATGAATAAAAGGAATCAAGATTATTGAGACAAATTAATATTCAGGATTTATATTCATAAAGCAGAATAGGCCTCAAATGTTCACCCATCAATTCTTTCATATAACACACTTAATAATTAAAGAAAATGAACAAAAGTTCATTGTCATTGCAGACATTGTTCATTGTCTTGTCGCTAAAGTCACTTAAATGCTGGTGGTTCGTTGGAATCTAGCAGCGTAATTAAAAAAAAAAGGCAGTTGGTTTGCGATTTCTCTCAAACTAGTCAGATTGTAGTTGTTTATTCATTTTTGTAAAGCTTCTTAATGAAATTTGATAGGCGAAATTACGCAATTTATTTAGCATTTTTATAGAATAAGAAATAATACTCTGTTTCTATTCTGCAATTTTTTATAACTTAAAAGTGGCTTTCTGGAGTAATTTGTTTCCTGCTCATTTCTCGTATCAATTTTGTGTTTGTATTATTTAATTATTTGCTTTTTTTGACAAGCTCTTCCCACAGTTTATAATTTTGTTTCATAGTATAATTAACTACTTATTAACTGTACCTAGTCTGGATCATTCCATTAAATTATTATTTTTCAACTTAACCTTTTAACTTTTTTTAATCAGCTGGTTACTATTTGGCTACATAATTTTATCCCTGTTCTTTGCCTTGTAATTCTTTAATGTATGTAAATAAATGTATTTCTATCAAGAATATCTCAATAATTACAAATAACTGTATCTAGAAAGAACATACATCACTAAAAAATCAGAAGAGAAGTATCTTATATTTTTAAACAACGATATATCGCATTATATTTAGGGAAATAATTAAAAGAGCAGAACAAGTAATTCAATGGTATTACGTACATTAATCATTTCATGCCATGTATATATTTAAGTTAATTGTTGATAAATATGATTCTTGAAATTGATAACACCTTAAACATTGTCTAAGAATATGAATAACTATAATATAATTACTCCCAAGGGTTTATTGTTGACAGAAATAAAAGTTTAACAAGTTGTATAGTCTCAAGACACTTTTCAATGACATCCAAAACATCATCTGATTCAACTATAAGAAAGAATAAGGTGGAAAAAGTGCACAAACGATTTCGTAGAGTTGTGATAACTGTTTGTACGACTTTTTTAAAGATAAACATCTTCTATTTTCGTTACAAATTACAGCAGTATATACAGAATTAGTCAATGAAATAGGGAGTAAAAGAAAGTAAACAAATTACCTAAATTTAGGTAGGATATGATGAATTTGAAATATTTTTAGTAACAATGTTAATTTTGGTGGATAAACCTACCAGTGAAAAATATTGGGATAGACAAGAAAAAACCTCCGATCGCGATGATCCTCGTGCAAGAACTTCTCTTCAAAAACTTGTTAGGTCTGCAAGAATTTTATCACAGGTTAATATTTGCATATGCATATATAGATAAATATATCTAGTTTAGTTATTACACAATTACCGTAAAGAAAAAGACATAGCATGAATGGCATTTTTTTCTCATAAACATACTTTTTAAGGAATCACTTTATCAAGCATTTATCTGAAAAACACCATCATACAGAGAAATTATCTAAAGCTTGAAGAACTAGGAGTGAAAGATATCTAGAAACTAGAATAGAACATCATATGAAGCATGTATTAAGTGGCGTGATGTACTTCATATCATTTCATGATTTCTTCCACATCATACTAACTTTAAATTTTCATCAGTTATTTTGAAACTTTTTGTTATTCTTCATACAAAGGTTTGTGTTGATTTATTTCTTGTCACAACTCATGTAACATACAGAACTTTGTATTTACAATCTTTCTTTTTCTATACATTAATATGAATTGAAAAGCTTGATAGAATAAGTTGCTGACAGGCACATTTAAATCAATACTTTAGGTAAATATAATTATTTTAGGTTATTTATGTCAATCTGTACTAACCCCATTTGAAAAATAAGTACACATAGATTATAATAGAAATAACCCTTAAATTTCGATGAAATGATACAGCATTCAAAGACATAATCTTTATGCCTATGCAAATATTTTTTTAAAGTTTCAGTTATTTTAGGTTAGGGATGTATGTATGTTAATTCAAAACTTCACAGAACCTAACGCTAAAATTGCACGGAATATTTTTTTATTATCTGACATGGAATAAATAAGACTAATCCTAGCCCTAGTTAAGCTCAATATAGGGAGGATATATATATATATACTAGCTATCAAATGATGCATTTAGTTTTGATAAAACTATATTTTCTTCTCCTTTACATATTCTTTCCTGGACATCAGTAGTATAAGGTTAAAAATATTTGAAATTAACCATTTAAAAACCCCAATGCACAAAAACAACATTTTTGAGAGCGAATATTTTAACTTCTTACACAGGTATTATGTTTCAAGATCAAAAACAAAATTAATTGGCTTTTCTAAACTTCTTCAACATAATTAGTTTTGTTTTGTCGTTTATGAAAATGTATCAGTGAACAACAATTTAAAACAATTTTTTTTTCAATAATAGCCCCTATTGGTAAAACAATTTCTCATAAATAGTTTTGAAAGACTATAAAATGTTGATGAGTCATCCCTTATGTTTCCTAACGCCAAAATTAGTTGTATGTGTGTAAATATAGCATGGTCAAAGGGAGAAGTAAGTAGCTACTAACACACTGCCAAGTTCAGTAATGTCATCATATTTTTGTTGTTAGAATCATTCGAGATACAAGTATAACAAAATTATCAGAAGTAGGTTATGAAATTTAGTGGTAACGGTAGACTACAAAGCCACCGTTCTAAATATTCAAAAATTAATATAATAATACGTGCAGCGATTTAGACGCAATCCTTTCGTAAAGCTTACCTTCGCATTTGATATTGGTAGTTAAACTTGATGAAGAGTGTCCACCTGGAACATTGTAATTAAAAACAAGGGGTAGGTTTTGAGACACTTGTTTACTAATCTTTATTTTTAGTAAATCTTATGTGAGTTTTTACATGTAAGGTTTGGGTATTAGCTGTAATGCCCTACATCGTATTGTATTTCAGCTAAGACTCGATACTTATTTCTAAAAAGTCTAGCTTTTAAACATGTCTTTGAGAAAAATAATAACCATTTATGTGCAAGAGAATGGAAAAGCTTATGAACACAGCGCCAAAATTGGACGGGAAAGCAGATATTATGTATTTCTTGGCGCGTTAAACACGTTATAAAAACTACAGCTGAGATTAACGTTCAACAGACCTTAACCAGTTATGCTTCTTGTGCGTTTATATGTAAATCATGTAGTATATTGGAATGATGATTTCTATCAGGAATGTAAAATATTCCAAATTAATTTATAGAACCCTCACGGCTGTCACAGACTAACTTGTTTCTGTCATCAGACTATGTCCGTTAAATTTTCGGATTATTTATTTCGTTGCATATATTTATAAGTATGTATTAAAGCTAAGTTAAAAAGTATAATAATTCTAAGTATGCGCATTGAATAAGTCAAGGAATGAGAGGAGGACTTGAATTTTCTAGGACTAAGCGTATATGAATTATTTACTAAAATATTTTGAAGATCGTAGTTAAAGTAAAAATCGTGTTTATTTTATTCTCTATGTTTGGTTTTAGCTGTTTTTACTTTCTGAGTTTTAGCCGTCTTTTTATAACACTATTTAATGTCTTAATAAGTAGCTTTTGAAGCAAGAAACTCTTTACAGTCAAGTTAAAGCGAACCATCGGATGACCTAGAACGTTAACCGTGGAATCATGCATGGAATTAGGAACCAGAGGCAAGGATTAGTCCTGTGGTTTTCTGGATTTCGGAGTTGGCAAACAGGTTCGAATCTGTGCGATACACAAAATATTCCACACACTTAAGTTACTTATACGTTATAAGAGCAACAGTCAATCCCTTAGTATGGATGTTTGGAGTTAGGGCGTTGCTGACTGGCTGTCTTTTGTCTGGTCACTAGTTTTAAATCAGGGACGTCAAGAAATAGCCTTAGTAGCTTTGCCATAAATACAAAATACAATTACTAAGAACCGGTTATGAAAGTGTAGTGGTCAAAGGTGAAATATCTAAAGTTAAGCATTATTCACTTGCCTGTACCAAAATCAAATTAAATTTTCATCATGAAATACGAAAGGAAATATATGTTCTTGTGCTTAAAGCCTGATAGCGTATACAACTTAACTTACTTTTTATTAGTTACGCAGAACAAGTTAGGTTATCTAACTCCACTGAATGAGCATGCATGATCGATTTACTTACATGTGACATGTGCCCTTATGAGTTCCACTTCACTTTATCACTAATCACCAATGATATTCTGTCATAAAGAGTCTTATGTGTGAACTCTAGCTTTCATCTCTAACTTATTGTAGTACATTTCCTGGTTTTATTAAGCATCGTTAACAATTAAAAATGTTTAGAAAAATTCTATACTTCCCGTGAGATTAAGTTTTCTTAAGCCAGTACACATAAGTCTGTTAAACAATTACGTCATTCAAAACGTCATCTTTGTTACCACAGCTGACAAATGTGTGTGTGTGACATGATTAATCTCATTGAATTTGGCTAACAGGTCATGGTTAGCAATTCTCTTCAAGCAACATTAGGCTTGTGTTAAAAACAATCTTATTTGTTATTAGAGGTAGAGTTAACCTTACAACTATGTTTCCGTTCTACTAAGTGGTTAAGGTAGCCCTCGGTAGTGAAGTCTAACTTTCTTTCAGATAAATTATTATCAATGTATATTTTGAATATAAAGTTTACTTAAGACTTATAAATATATGTCGGTTTTTTTAAAGTTTTCTACATTTTATTACATTTTGCAAACCATAATTTAACTAGTGCACTGAAAGCATCTTTAGAGCATTGTCGTAGACTCTTGTCTCAGTCTTTATCGTTGACTTAACTAGCCGAATATGTTGTAATATAAAAAAAGAGAGTCAGTAAATAGTGTTTCTATTATTTATAAATTATTTTTCTTATCAAAATAATTATCAATATTGAAGTGCCTTACAAGTGTAACACAAAATTATTTATATATGCACTGTTATTATCTGTGTGGCTCACGGTGTATTTGTCTCTCATTGCGTGTTAACAAAAATGCATGGTTTTAACCATGGTCCATCAAAAGGGTGTGAAAACATAAAACCGAACTAGTTCAAAGAACCACGATAATTATTGACGAAAAAAATAGTTCCTCCGGCATTTCCGGCCATTAATACTTGGAAATGTATGTTTTGAAATAAAATTATGTATCGATTAAATTGCACGAGAAATAGCATGACTAATCAAGTAAAAAACATTAAGAAAATACAAATTATTCGCCTGTCTGCTTCAGAAAATTAGTTTTCTTTGATATCGCCGTTCATCGTTCCAATTGTACGCATGAGTAACAATGATTCCAGGATTATTTCTATGCACGACTAAGACATGTTACTATATAATGATATTCCTATTATGGTGGAAAAATTAAAGAAATTCTCTAGATTTTAAAACTGTCTATGAGTTATCACAGAGCAGCCGCGTAACTACAAGACTGAAGGAAACACAATAATACTTGACAGCGTAAAGTAGTATGCAACTCAAAATTACGTACACGCTCTTCTGAAGTCATGTAAAACATTTTCTTTTTTTTTTGTCGATGTATTTGCTACAGCTCATGGTAT